AAGCTCCCAGTTATAACTCCCAGGGGACCTGGGCTTCTGTTTTCAGAAAAGGATCCCCATGCAGCTGGAACCACAGCTGGGGCTCAATCCTCGTCTCAGGGGAGGGCTGCATGCCTGTCTGCTCCACGCTCACAAAGTGCCTCTCAGAAGGCCTGTGAGTTACCAGGAAGAACCCAACTAAGGGAGAGGCATTCCTCCCAGGGGTGGGGTGTTGATCATAGTTCTGGGTTCTAGACCACAGAATCCACTCGAACGAGTTTGAGCAGAAAGGTATTTATGAAGGGTTAAAGGCTTCCCGGGTGGCTCAAATGGTAAAGAATCCACCAGCCAATGCAGGAGACCTGGGCTTAATCCCTGGGTTGGGAAGATCTCCTGGAGAAGGGAATGGCAACCCACTCCAGTATTCTTGCCTGGGAAATCCTATGGACAGATGAACCTGGCGTGTACAGTCCATGGGGTCACAAAGAGCAGGACATGATTGAGCACAACACAACAACACCAACAACAACAACAAAGAAGAAACAAAGCAGCAAAGACAGACCACAGAATCAGGGGAGGGATGAAGAGACAGACACCAGGATAGGCTCTGGGAAGAACTCCCCAAACAACACACAACTGGGCAGCCACGGAAGCTTTGGCTCTTGCATGACCAAGAAGCTTCAGAAACAGGAAATCTTCCACCACAGGCACCTCTGAGGAGTGGCTTCCTAAATCAAGATGTCCCCAGCAGCCACCAGGTCCACACGGCTTCTCTCACAGCCCCCGGCACATTTTCCTCCCAACATAATTCAACATCACACATGAGGTCATCTGGTTGGTAAAAAGTAATACATACCTTGTATACTTGGGGGCAAGGAAGTCAAGAAAATGCCATTTTTAGCTCCAGCCTCTCATTTACAACAGTTATGTGTGTGTCTATTAATCCATGTGTCCACCACACATGGTTTGGTACCTTTCACTGGATCTAGTATATGTTTGTTTGTTTGTTTAAGATATTTTTTGATGATAAGGACCATTTTAAATTTATTGAATTTGTTACACTATTATTTCTGTGTTATATTTTGGTTTTTTTTGGCTGCGAGGCATATGGGATCTTAGTTCCTTGATCAGGGATTGAACCCACACCCCCTACATTGGAAGGCAAAGTCTTAACCACTGGACTGCTAGGGAAGTCCCTACTATATGTTTTTAAAGGACTAAGCTTGTTTACTTTTGTTTTTTCCATTTATTTTTATTTGTTGGAGGCTAATTACTTTACAATATTGTAGTGGTTTTTGCCTCTCAGAAGGCTGACATGAATCAGCCATGGATTTACATGTGTTCCCCACATGTTTTTTTATTTTATTTTATTTATTTATTTTTTAATTTTATTTATTATTTTTTTATGTTTACTTTTTTAAAACTGTGAACAACTGGACAAAATTCTGTCCCTGAATCTCACTGGCTATGGCCCTACTCCCCACGATCCAGTTTTCCAGATGTTCACGGTCCACTGTCCTGGACATTTAAAGATTGCTGTTTTCTACCTCTGTTGGCGTGTACATGGCTTTTTAGAACGTAGACCCAAATATTTGCGCAAACTGCAGTTAAAGATGATAGCTGCTTATCTAGAATGTGCTCGTGTTTCCTAGCTAGACAAGCCATTATTTTTTGCTGCCCAGCTCACGAGGCTTAGCAACTGCTCTTGACCTTTTCTGTTCCCCTGAAATGCATTTTAAAAAAATCCCTGTAGGGTGGGAGGATGAGGGGAAGGTAAAATTAGGGAGTTTGGGATGGACAGGTATACACTGCTATATTTAAAATGGATAACCAACAAGGGAACTCTGCTCAATGTTATATGGCACGCTGGATGAGAGGGGAGTTTTGGGGAAGAATGGACACATGTATTTGTATGGCTGAGTCCCTTTGCTGTCCACCTGAAACTATCACAGCATTGTTATTTGGGTATACTCCAATACAAAAAAAAAGTTTAAAGAAAAAATCCCTGAAACCTACAAGACACACAGATGAGGAATACCTTGTCCGTATCCTTGGGATTTATTACATCAAGATCTCTGAGTTTACATCCTCAGTCTCCCATGATTTCTTTTTTTTTCCCCCATGATTTCTATGTGTAATTTTAGATAAGTCATTTAACTTCCTGAGACAGCAATTTTTTCACCTATAAAACAGGCCTGGTAGCAACTACTTCATAAAGCTGTTAAGAAAAGGAAACAATATATATAAAAACACTGTGCAAACTGAAAAATTATTGACCTGAGCTATCAAGTAGACTTCATCTCATGAGCCAACTCCCATGAATTTATTAGTGCTGCCTGAAGACCTGGGTTGAGAAGGATTTTGAGGCTGTATCTGAGTTCACTGGGAAACAGCGCAATGGATGGGTAGAAATGGCTGTTGTGATCACCAGAGATTGCTGGCATTGGGAGGGTGTCACCTATATAGATGCCACCTATATGACATTACCATTCTGGATGTGTGGGTGCTATAATTACCATTATAATGGCAGAAGTCTTCTTTGGTGGCCTTAAGAAAACCAGCCATGAAAGAAGCAACAGAAAATCACCTGAAAAAGAACAAGGCTTGAAAGATCAAGGGAGGGACTTCCCTGGTGGTCCAGTTGGCTAAGACTCTACACTCCCAATGCAGGGGACCTGGGTTCCATCCCTGGTCAGGGAACTAGATCCCAGTTTTAAAGATCCCACAGTTAAAGATCTTCAGTGCCACAACTAAGACCTGACACAGCCAAAAAATAAATCAAATTTAAAAAAAGAAAGAAAGAAAAATTAGGTGATTTATTTTGTCGGACTAGGAATCCATTTCCCAAAACAGCAAACTCTGGCAGGGCCTCGGTGTGCTGGGAACAGGGCTGAACAACTTGGTTCCTTCTCACTTTCCTGGGAGCCCCTTCTCATCTGTTACCTGTCACATCTCCAGGCCGGGCCCTCTTCCATTGCCATGACATGGGCTCCCAGATCTATCTTGTCCCCTCCCATGGCTTCACACCCTTCCACGGGTATCTCTGGCTTAGATCTCCCCAGAGTTCTCCACCTGTGTATCCAACTGCTATCCTTACAGGATAGCATGGACCAAAAAAAAATTTTTTTAATAAAAACTTTTATTATTTTAGGCCATTGATATTGTGGAAATTTATTTTTCTTTATTTCTTCCTTTATTTATTTATTTTGCCAACTGTGCAGCATGTGGGGTCTGAGTTCCCCGACCAGAGATCAATCTCAAGCCCCTTGCAGTGAAAGCACAAAGACTTAACCATTGCACCACCAGGGAATTCTCTGCAATTTATTTCTTAGAGCAGCTAGTATTATCCTAACTTTCACAGTGGCCAGAATTAAATATTTCCACTTCATTGTCTCAACAGGTATCTCAGATTCAAGAGAATTTAAGGTACAATCATCTTTATCCAACACCTCCAAACTTGCTCTCTTGCTTTCTGTCTCCCCTGTCCTCTGTCAGAACCCTGGTTGTCACCTTGCATTCCTCTCTCTGCTTCCCTCCTGAAATTCAACCAGAGACCAAATCCTGCAGATTCTCTCCTGTCAGTTCTCTCCTCAACTTTCCCACTTGCGCTGCCTTGGTCTATTCACCAATTCTCATCTTTTTCTTGCCCTGACAATTGGGTCAGTCTCTTAGTTGGTCCCTGTCTGCTTCAGCTCTAGTTTATCCATCCATCCATCCAACCAACCATCCATCCATCCACCATTAATTCATCCATTCAACCATGCATCCATTCAATCATCCATCCACTCATCCATCTATCCATCCACCCATCCACTCATCCATCCATCCATCTATCCATCACTCATCCATCCATCCATCTCATCACCCACCCATCTATCCATTCAATGTGCATTTATTAAATGTATTACCCTGCTGAATAGTATAAATACTATAACAAATGAGTCTCTGACAGAGATGATTGGGAGAACCAACATTAATGAAATAGTCCTACTAATAAGTAAATAATTACAGGTGCTATGAAAGAAAATGACAGGTTGTAATGAGAGTATCACACTGGGGCCTTAAACTGGTCGAGCGGCCAAGGAAGCCGTCTCCATGGAGATGACCTTTGAGCTGAGGTCTAAAAGATGGAGGAGGGGCACTGGCAAAGGTGGGGGTTGAGAGGAATAGGACTAAGATCTTCCAAACAGAGGGAACAGTGACTGTGAAGGTTCTGAGGCAGGGAGGAGCAAGACCCATTTGGGAACCTCAAGTCCCATGTGGCACAGGAAGTGTTAGTTGCTCAATGGTGTCTGACTCTGTGACTCCATGGACTGTATGTAGCTCGACAGGCTCCTCTGTCTATGGGCTTCTCCGGGCAAGAATACTGGAATGGGTTGCCATGTTCTACTCCAAGGGGATCTTTCTGATCCAGGGATCAAACCCGGGTCTCCTGCATCGCAGGCAGATTCATTACAATCTGAGCTACTGGGGAAGCCCCTGTGGCACTGGAACCAGTCTTATTTATCATCATATTCCCCAGATCTAACAGAGTATCTGGCACATCATAGGGCTTCAACAGTTTGTGAACGAGCCAATGAATGAATGGATAAGTGAAGCGATGGGTGACAGGACAGATGGGCAAGGCACTAAGCTGAAATTCATGGCATACAACATTCACGATGTACAACCAAGGATTAGAGCTTCAGCCTCGTCCTCTCCCTACTCTGGGTTTGCCCACCTTCAGCCCCTGCGCCACCCTATGTCCGAAGGTGTTTATACCCTGTGTGTAATTGTCTGGTGATTGCCTTCCTCCTCGATGATGAGTTCCACCTGCACATGTCTTGTTTACCAATGTAGCCCAGCGCCCAGTCCACCGCCTGCACAGAGGAAACATTCATATAAGCATTTAATGAGCTGGTAGGCACAGGAGGCCAACACCAAGAATCAAAGTCATGGGGTCAGGTGAGGGTGGAGTCAGATGTGAGTAAGACATGAGTCAACTGCCCGCGTCGGTTGGCGTGAAAGAGGCTGCAAGCCAAATGGGGCACACACACATGTTGGTGGCACTTAAGAGCCACGTCTGGAGACAAGCCCAGAGCCAGCACAGGTGAGCAAGGACGCAGGTGGAGGCAACACAGGGCAGGCCCGAGTCACCAGCAATGGCACACTTCCGGCTCTTCAAAAGGTTTGGCTTACACCTGATAGGTCATGCCATAGCTGTCAAAACGAAACACCCACATTGGACACTTTACGGCTTCTCTACCACATCGTGGCTCTGCAAGTGTCTGGGCCGAGTTCCTCTGCGACACATGCACTCTCAGGGGAGTTCATTTTTCTATTAGCTTCAGCACCCTGCTGGGCTTCCCAAGTGGCTCAGTGGTAAAGAACCCACCTGCCAAGGCAGGAGATGCAAGAGACGTGAGTTCAATCCCTGAGTTGGGAAGATCCTATGGAGGAGGAAATGGCAACCCACTCCAGTATTCTTGCCTGGAGAATCCCAAGGACAGAGGAGCCTGGCAGGTTATGGTCCATGGGGTTGCAAAGAGTCAGACAAGAGACACGACTAAGTGACTGAGCGTGCACACACCCTGCTATTGCCCACCCAGTCCCCTTGAAGTAGGATCCAGCAAGAGTGTGTTGGAGGAATGAACAGCTGGCAGAAGACCTGGCAGTCAGACTAGCTGGTGGGGAGGACCCTGAACAAACAGACCTTCTGCCAGGAAATCTAGCAACACAAGGCCCCCAGGATGACTATGAGGTTGTTGTCTGACTGCTTCCTGTTTGCTGCCTTGTAACCAGACTTCCTACAGTTGTCTATTCCTGTCCTCTTGTTTTGACTTACCAGTTTTCAGAATGATCAGCTTCACCATGTCATCTTGTCCTTTTAGCTCCGAGTTTCTGCAAGAGCTAAATTGAATCTTTCTGTATTTATTCATTAAACATTTGCTTAGTTCCTATTATGTGCTAGATACTAAATTTTCAGACTCAAGATTCTGAAGGGTCTGGTAGGAACAACAGCCAAAGAATAAAAATGCAGGACTTTCCTGGTGGTCCAGGGGTTAAGAATCTGCCTGCCAATGCAGGGAACATAAGGTTGATCCCTGGTCTGGGAGGATCCCACATGCCTCGGAGCAACTAAGCCCATGTGCTACTACTACTGGGCCTGTGCACCTAGAGCTGGTTCTTGGTAGCAAGAGAAGCCACCACAATGAGAAGCCTATGCACCCCAACTAGAGAGTAGCTTCTGCTCACCATAACTAGAGAAAGCCTGGTTGAAGCAATGAAGACCCAATGTAGCCAAAAATAAATTTTAAAAAAATTTTTTTTAATTTAAAATAAACACACAAGATGCCTCATTAGCACAGTATGTAGTGCGTCAGTCTCATAAAATAAACATGCACAATCCGGGGTGATAAGACAACAAAGCACCCAGGGGCTACTGGGAACAGATACCCAAATCAAAATAATAGATGGTTTAATCTTTAGTGCTTTTTCTGACTTCATTTCCTCATATATAAGAATGACTAAAGAACCAGAATTGGAGGAATCTGGGTCAGAGATGCCACTCACTAATTGATTCCCACACACCCAGCCGTGGTGTGGCCCTTCAGACCATCTGGGAACAAACACCAACCATGCATCCTTCAGGTTTCCAAGGCTCGAGCCTAGGGAGTTCACCTCGGGGCCAGCTATTACACACTTTGTGTGTGGCCACCCTTCCTTCTCAGCTGCCCGAAGGCCTCAATCCTTGGGCCTCATGGCTCTCTGCCAGAGAGACCAACTGTCCCAGTTTCCCCAGGACTAGTTCCATTTTAGCATCACCCCAGGAAGCCCTTCAGTCCCAGGTAAACAGGAGAGCTGATCACCATCCTGCAGTCTGTACCCTTTGCCATATGTGCTGGTCTGCACACTTGGGTCAGGGCTGCAGGTCTGGGGCTCACGGAGGGAGAGGCGGTCCCTGGCGCACTTGGAAGGACCTCGGTGTCAGCATCTGCCCTCTGATGTGGCGCCCTGCCAGCCCCAGCTCCCAGGCCCCAGGCTGTTCCAACCTGCTGCCTGCTGACTCAGCCACACCTCAGCTGCTGAGTCAGTCCCCAGGGAGGCAGAAAGGGCAGGTCTGAGCTCCATGAGGGAGGACGGAGACCCTGCTGCTCTCATTCATTCCTCCGTCCTCTGTCTTAGCAGCTAGCAGAGTGTTCCAGGCCACAGTGGCCAAGGATGGATGCGCTCAGAGTAGCCTGGGTCTGTCCATTCAGTGAGGCGTAGGGGACACCCTTGACCCAGGCCGCATGACCCTCTACTCAGGTCACCTCTGTTACGACTGCACATACGACGTCCAGACCTGAGAATCAGCCTAGAGCACCCACATTGCCTGGAATCCAGCCCTTCTCATTTTCCCACTCCATGGGGACGCTTTAGAGCCGCCGTTAGGCAGCTTTAGGACCCCTGGCCGTTACCCGACAGCCCTCTGCCCCTTCCTTCCCCAAGGTGCCTTGCCTTGCTCCTGCCAGCTCCTTCCCATGGCTCAGAGCCAGGGCAGCCACCTCCTGGGCTCAACTCCAGGGTGCTGGCTTCCCAGTCGCCCACAGTCTGCAGCCTGGCAGCTGCCTGGACTAGGATCCTGTGTTTTACCCTGCACCTCCCCTGGGAAATCTCAATGTTGAGTTTTCTGAACCTCTGAGTTGGCAGCTCCCTGGGACCATCCCACCCTACCCAGCTGTCCTCTGGGTCAGAGTCAGGCAGCTGATGAGGTGACAATGAGACACCCAGGGAAGTGTCAACCTTCCTCTTTTCCTTCCCAATCAACACTCTCACCACCAGCTGGTGGCTGGGTCCCCTGAGAGCTGTGAGGAGGGTGTGGGAGGAGTGGGGGCTATTTCTAGACTAACCACCTCAGTGCTGAAAGGAGCCCGGCCTCCCACCTGTGCAGGGAAGCCATCTTGCTGCTTTTTGCAGAGAAGTCGCCTGTAGCCTTGGCTTAAATCTACCTGGTGGGACGTATCTAGTGTCCCATTTCCGGTGTCTAGGGACTGGTTGGGTGGTGCCCAACGTTAGGAAGAAGGAAACATGCTTCTCTCTTAAAAGGAAAGCAGCCCCTTTGTGTACAGACGGATTCCAGGGTTGAACTTTTAGATGAGCTGAGAGGGCACCCTTGTGTTTGGGGTAAGAACTCTCCTGAAGTACATGTTGTCATTGTTTAGTCGCTCAGTTGTGTCCAAATCCTTGCGACCCCATGGGCTGTCTGTCACCCGCTAGACTCCTCTGTCCATGTAATTTCCCAGGCAAGAATCCTGGAGTGGGTTGCCATGCCCTCCTCCAGGGGATCTTCCTGACCCAGGGATCAAACCCATATCTCCTGTGTCTCCTGCATTGGCAGGCGGGTTCTTTAACCAGTCCAGCCATCAGGTAGCACTGGGGCTGTTTCTCCATAAGCCTGTGGGACCAAGGGAAGAAACCTGGGCAGATGGAGTCTGTCTATCAGGATGACCTGAGGCTTTTCAAACAGACTCCCAGTGCTGGGATGGGGCCCAGGGGCAGGGGTGGGGGTTTCAGGTTTTCTTGGAACAACTACTGGTGAGTGCAAGCTGGATCAGCAGGACCTGCAGCACAGAGAATCTGGATTTGATCAGGCTGAGAAAGAGCAAAGTTCTGAGAGCTCAGGATTCAGGCAGCTGCCGGCCTGAGCAGGAAACATGGGCAAAGTGCACAGAGAGCCTTCGAGAGGCCCCACAAATGGGGTGAGTGCATGGGGCCTGTTGTAATTGGGCTCTGGCCCTGGTCCAGGCCTCTGCTGCTCCCTAAGATTTCTTTCTTGCTCCAGACACAGAAGCCATTTCCTTGAGTAACTGATCACACCTTCCTCTGCCCACCAGGGAACTCCTTCTGTCTGGACTCTTGTGTCCTTGTCCATTCAGATGGGGCCCCTGTCCTGTCCTGCTAGTTGGTCCTGCTCAGTGATGGTCTCTCCTTTGGGCCTAGTCTCTCCCCTTGTTCTAGGGGCCCATGCACTGACGAGCCAAGTCTGTGATCCAAACTAGTGCTTCTCAAAGTATATGATGCATAAAAATCCTCTGGAGATATTTTCTTTTTTAAAAATTAATTTTTTGTCTGTGTCCGGTCTTAGTTATAGCATGCAGGATCTTCAATCTTTGTTGCAACATATGGAATCTCTTAGTTGCAGCATGTGGGATCTAGTTCCTTGACCACAGATCAAACCTGGGCCACCTGCATTGGGAACTCAGAGTCTTAGCCACTGGACCACCAGAGAAGTTCCTGTGTCTGTTTTTAACATAAATATGACCTCAACATAGTAGTGTTCTGTGACTTGCCTTTTCACTTAATATATTACTGAAATACTTTCCTAAATCTTTGGTTTTATTCACTTAAAATCTACAGGCAGTTTACAGACTGTCTGTAAACAAATATTCAACTGAATAGTTATTGAAACTCACTTAGCATTTCTTTGCTGTTATTCCTGATTTTATTTTTTAAATTACACAAGCAGTATGTGAATGCATTCAAAGTGTAAAAAATTCAAAGTACAAAGAAAAAGGAAAAATCTCAGTCTCCTTCCTTCCTTCCCCACCCATATTTCCCCTGTCTAGCAACACCTGCTAGTGACCGTCTTTTGTATGCATTGACATGTATGTACATATTTATTTAGATAGAATCACACTGTATCTATTGTTATGCAACTTGCTCTGGTCATATATAGACAAGTCAAAAGGGCCTTTACCAGCCTTGAATTGCCTTTACCTTTTACCAGATTTAGAAAAAGGCACTCCTTCCTCAGATAAAATATTTTTGTTAGGGTATTAACTACACAAGCTGATCAGCTCTGCCAAGGGTACAAAGAGGTCTGGTTATCCCCAGCATCCACACTCTTACCCATATAACCTGAAATCCCTGGACACAGGGTACCTGGGCCTCCAAACAGCGCACCCTCCATTTCCACATGAGGAATGGGTATGAACCTTCAGACTCAGAGTTGGGCAGGAGGCAGGAATTGGTGCAGCAGGTGAACAAGAAGAGACTGCAATGGGCTCTCTTGTGTGTTTGTCAACCTGAAGATGCTTTACCGACTGAGCTACTCGGGAAGCCCCTCAA